TTATTCTTGTATAAATGGATGCTAAGTCAATAAAAATGTTGAATTAATCAATTATTTAGCTTATCTTTATAGATTAATAGATTTTATTTGTGTTTCCACGCGTTTCCATATTTTTTCCGCGTTTCCATTGCGTTTCCGAAATGTTTCCGTTTTTTAGATGACCGAAACGGTACTTCGAAATGAAATTTTGATCCTTGGTTCTGCCTTAGTATCTGTTTGAGAACAATACAACACCACTAACATAACTCCACATACCTTTTCCTACTAGAAAATTTTTCATAACATAGGCCTCACAAATTAATTTCACACTAATGGTCTAAAAATAATCAGAGTGCCCGCTTGCCATAATTCCAACGAAGGACAGCAACCCAACTAAATCCACTGGGTTGAATCTGTATGAAGTCAAACAGCCCGCAGCCAAACAAATCAAGACCTAGAAAACAATTCAGAAATCAGCCCAAATAAACAACCGAGAGCAATAACGAAGACAGCAATAATCAGGGAAGCTGCGATACCAGCGATGAAAGCTAAAACACACATGATAGATCCACCAAGTTTTCAACAAAAATTCAGTTCAAGAGTATGGCAATCATCAAATCGAGATTCGAGCAACAAGAACAAAGGATCGCACCTTGTAAGTGGAATTTGTGGCAGAAGTAGATCACCGGTCACAAAACCAGATCGCCAAACCACCAAATCAACCCAAAGTTAGTCACAAATTAACCCAACAGCTGAATTCACTTAGATGAGTACCTAAACCCTTTAGTTGCACCCCTTAGGACTTATTTGAAGCACCAAAAGTGCAGCTAGAACAGGAAAAACCATATCGAAAAATTTGACACTAATTTTCAAAAAACATTCAAAAAATCAAAACGCTAGAAAATAACCATGAAATAGAAAACTAAGCATACCATGAGAAAGGTCATGAAAAATTGGGATAAGAGGTGCCTTCAACTCGTTCGTGATGATGACATCATCATCGTTGCAGATGACGTCAACCCTAATCCAAGAACAATTTCTTCCCCCAAAAAAATTAATGTGATGCAAAATATGTTTAGGATTGAAACACGCTCTAATGACATGTAAACTTTAACCAAAGAAAGACGAGAGAATATCCTTATGGCGCAATTAGTTTGTGTAACAAATTAACTTAATATGTAATTCAGATTATTACAGCCAATGGTAATTCGTACCAAAAAGCTGGTTAAATGTTGATGGAAAGAAGGCCACACTTATATTGGACTCCTTGGGTAGTCCACTCTCTGGATTTAATTTTACATTATTTTTTCATGATTGAAACGATTCAAAATGTGCTGGAGCAAGCTAAAACAGTAATCAATTTTATCTATAATCATAGAAGGGTCTTAGCTATAATGAGAACATTTTGTTCAAGGAAATTGATTCGGCTTGGACAAACAATATTTATCACTAATTATATTTTCCTACAAAGTATTTTAGAACAGAGAAATGGCTTGCAAATGATGTTTACTTCATAAAATTAGTGCAAGACTACGGGAGCGAATGATCCAGCTGGAAATAGAGTAGAAGGGATAATTCTAAATCCTAAATTTTGGGAGAAAACCAAAAAAGTAGTGAATAAGCATACACCTATTGCAAGAGTTCTAAGAATGTTGAATGAGGAAAGAAAAGCTACAATGTCATGTGTATATGGAGCAACGAAACGAGTAAGACAAGCTGTCAAAGATGTGTCTCCTAAATATTGTAAAAAATATCTTGGCATCATTGATTCTCGATAGAATAAACAAATCATTCACCACATTCATATGGCAGGTAAACTTATTGTTTAACAATATTTATTTTTATTACAAGTGTTATCACTTTAGATGTGACACAAGTTAACTCATTCCTGTATATTGTGTAGCTTATTACTTGAATCCCCACATACCATTATAAGGAAGATGTCAGTATGTTAGAAAAATTGTCAGATTCGCTTCGGATCGTTGCGGCTAGATTACAGACATTCAAACAAAGCTGCTCAAGTATTTGCTGAGGTAATACTTTAGTATGTCAATCTCATTTTAAGAGTGTACTATTTTAATATACAACATCAACATATCCATGATATTTAGGTCAAAATATTTTGAGAGGTCATGTATTATTTTGTTGACCGAGATGCAATTTAAGAAAGAACAAAAAGTAATTTAGGTAATTAAGTAGATTATTTAAACATAATATTTTGTCCTCATGGTTTTCTACTTATGTTTTTCTTTAGGGCACGTTTGGATGATAGTAATCTTAATTGGGAATAGGTATCTCATTCCTAATAATGAAATACCTGGGTTCCAATTACAATAATAATCTTATATTCAGTGTTTGGTTATTGTTAGTAATCTAATGTGGGAATTAATGTCATTCCCAAATTATTTTAAGAAATAATTTAATTTTAAAAAGGACATTGATTTTAGGAGAACTTAATTTTTGAAATGAAGTTAATTTTAGGAAGGAGTTTTATTTTGGAATTTTTATTCCCGCAATCAATGTATGAGATTACCACCATTCACCATGGGTTTAGGACACCCACAATTATTGGGAATTGAATTACAATATTATTTCCAAGTTATATTACTAAATAATTGACTCTCCAAACATGATAATTTAGGATTTAAAAATAAGAATCTCATTCCCAATCAAGATTACCTCCATCCAAACGAGGCCTTAAGGTTTCAAGATGATTCTTATTATTATGCAATTGAATGTTTGTTTACGTATGACACTGATGCTTCTAATTTGAGAAAGATTGTTATGAGAATATTGCCGCAAACAGCCTTATCTAGTAGTTGCGAGAGAAACTAGAACACATTTGCGCTCTTATTCATACTAAAGTGCGTAATCAACTCAATTGTCAAAAGTTGGAAAGGCTGGTGTTTGCACAGTATAACACAAGGTTGAAGTTAAAGCACCTTGTGAAGAAGCAAAAAAAGTAGGAATTCAGATCTATAGACTTAACCACTGTTTTTTAGGAGGATGAATGTATTTTAGAGTGGTTAGATGACCCCAGGAATGCACTTTTAGATGAACTTGATGATGATGGACAACCAACAAGACCAAATGATTTCCTTGCAACATGGACAAATTGTTTTTCTGATGATGATGGAGAAGTAGGTCAAAGTCAGAGTGTTGTGCCACCATAAAATCAAAATCCAAAGTAAGTAGAAAAGGATCAAGTAAAGTAAGGAAAAATATTTTACCAATGGATGAAGAAGAGTTTGAAAAACTAATGAAAAGTCTACCAAACTGTAAGCAACTTGTCACTCCCACTAGGGGTACTGATAATGATTATAATGGTGATAGTAGTAGCAATGATGATGACGGTGGTGATGGTGGTGGTAGTGGAGATGGTGACTATGGAGGTGGTGGTGAGCATATTACTAGTTCATCACAGAGGTGGAGGAAGTCAAAATCCACATGAAGTTGTATTCAATGTAAAGGAAAGATTTACATATGCTACACAAAATGAGGATCATGGCTCTCAACGAATACTTCAATATGAACGACTCTCAAGTCGAGATCACCAATGTGAGCATACTCAAAATCCGATCACTCCACATGGTATAAATGCTATTATGCATAGAGTCAATATGATTAATGCTGATTTTTCTACTATTAATCTAAGTAGAAGTGGAAATGGAAATGAACACCATAATTATTGTTCGTCGTCTTCATATAGTTATGGTATTGGAGATGACATTTCTACATATGATTATGGATCAGGGTATGACTCACGAGGATATGAATATAGATTCTCAACATATGGTTATAGATCTAGCCATGACTCCTGGAGACAAGACGAATGTTGCACAGGGACTGGTGCATTCGTTTCCCAGCAGATTTGATGAATGTTGCGGACTATCAAAAGTTCAGGACAGAGTATAATTCATATTATCGTAATTATATGAGTTGGACTAACTATTGTCATCATGTTTATACTACATATAGATTTTCTCTCACTGATTACCAAGACCCTGCACCGATTTATGAGTCTGTTCGACACTCCACCGAAAGATAGATGTAGCCATGTATTTATGTACCCATTAGCCCTTCATTTGTATTATGAGACCTTAACATTATGTAAAAATGAATTTGCTTGATAAAAATTAAATGTTTGAAACTAATTGAAGTGATATCCGCCTTGTCAAACCTTTTTGTTCTCCAACTTGATATTATCTTATATATATGGATATTAACCCAATAAACATGCTCAATTAATCAATTATTAACCTTATCTTTATAAATAAATAGATTATATTTGCGTTTTCACGTGATTCCATATTTTTGCTTTCCAAAATGTTTTCATTTTTGAGTTGATCGACATGGTACTCCGAAATGATATTTCGATCCTTGCATACAAGTGAGAGAGTTATCACCAGCAAAACAAGTGGAAGTCACATTTCGTTGGTCAAACAAATAGTGGCCCACGCTACAGACTTCTCCTTTTAATTCGGTTGTGGGAGTGTAAAAGCGGAAAACTGTCACAAATTTTACCTTTTCGTATCTTTATTTCAGTTATGAATTTCTTCTTTGGTCCTAAACATTACATTCCATAAACCCCTTCACAAAATATTGTTTTCTCATATGATCTCTCATCCAACTGTCCTTCACAAATCTACCCTTTTCTTCCAATTATGACGTCTTTGACCTTAAATATTCGTAAATTTCATAGTTGTAAACATTGTCAACTAGAGCAAAGCAAATAAGGACAAAATTATTCACATCAATATGGATACATATTTCCATATGAAGTTCTATACAACTGTTATCTCCCCTTATATTGCATCGGACACCCCCATGATTGTGCCCACAGATTATAGGTTCTTACTGATCTCATGCTTTAAGACATAATCATATCCATGTAATTTTTAATCAATAAATAAAATAAATATGACCACTCCAAGTATTAAAATCAAAGAAGTGCAATAATAGATGCAACAGAAAGATTCCAACGACATTGTGAGGTTTCAGCAACATACTTCTGAATAACTTCAGGTGGGAAGAAGTGGTTGTCTTTCATCATGTCCTACACGATGAGAAGCCTGGAAAAGATGTGAATGGAAAAAATAAAGAAAGCATGAGTTTCAGCAGAAGTTACAGAAAAGCATTAATGTTTTTTGTAGAAGACAAGCTGATCAGACTTTCTTACCTCTTCATTTGCTCCAGCTGCCATATTTATGAAGGATGAATCCCTTGAGCTGTGATATTAAAACATATATAACCATAATCAGAGGATATATGTTAAACAACCAAGTACTCTAAAAGCTTAAGTTGTTAGAGAGAGTGTTACTTAAATGTTTATACTTCAACAATATAAATAAACATTTTTGGAACTAAGTTGCCCCACAGGTAACTGAGAGAATGAAAAGCAGCATGTGACACATTGCAGAAGGATCAATCAAAAGAAGAAAACAAACCAATGCCAATAACCTGTATTATTCATTTCATCAAATCTTTTTGTATTTGTGCCAAGTCTGTGCCACAAAACAAGTAGGGTAGGATTCTCAACCCCCCAGTGCTATAACTATCCGTCACAAAACAAACAAAAGAACAAACAAATACCTGTTATTCTGAATGTCCAATCGCTCCAGCACTCCATTTTGTTGTTCATCCTTGACTTTTGAAAGAGATGAGAAGAACTGAAGAAAAATGAAGCACAGGGTTAGTCTGAAAACAAACTTGGAAAGGTCAAAAGGATACTTCTCTTTGCAGTAGTACCTGGTGCATTGAAATGAAAACAACAGTAATTCCCAAAATAAAGTTGATGGTCAAAGTATGACCAAATAATGCAGCGGAGGCAATGCCGGTAAAGATTGTGGCAACAGTTGACGAATATTTCTTCAAAATCGTATCTGATAGCATCAAGTGAGGCCATATATAAGTAAAGAGTGCAACAAAGACTAATTACCACACAAAAAGCCATAATAAACTAAAGGTCTAGATCAAGAATTACAAGTTCTAATTTACAAGGAGGTAAAAAAGATTTTAAGCTGTAATTTTGCTTAATATTTAGCACAAGAAACAAAATTCTTAGAGTAGTAGGGAAAATCTCACCAGCATATTTGAAGAAAAAGGAGGATAAAATTCCTTGCGCTGCATTGTTACATATTAAAAGCATGGTAGCTTTCGAATGTCCTTGCAAAATATCAAGGCTACTGGGACCTGAAATATTTGGAATAACACAATCAGAGTCACACAAGTTTAGCCTAGATATTTCATGAACCAACTGCAACAGATATTATCATAAGGTGTCTTAGAATGTCCTATGGAAAAAGATTGATTCCGAGTGTCTAGATTCATCAGACATGGTAGTGGGATTAAAGAAAGTGGGAGCTTTTAACAGCACTAATAGCCCAAATTCAGTTCTTAAGTATCATAAAATGCATTTTAGCCAAAAGAACAATGCTAGTAACCCTAGTCATGCATCGTATCTTGGGTCAAAATAGTCATTCAAGTTTTATTTAGGCTCTAATAATCTAGAATAGTTTTAGGGTCAAAGAGCCAAGAGTTATTAAATTTGAAGCCTTAGTACTAATAGAATTAGGAGAATCCAGCAGCTATAAATTATAATATAATCTTCCTATTCAGTACAGCATTCCATATGAGAACTTGATTCTGTGTAGTCATTTTATCTAATCCTTATAAGGCTGCAATTTTTTTTTCCTTCTCTCCTCCCTCTTATCCTCCTCTTCATCAACTTCTTTTTCTTCTTCTTCCAAGTTTTTCTGCACTCTGTTCACTCTTATAATTGATGGCTTCTTTTTCTTTCTTAGCCTAATTCAACCATATCACTTGGCGACTAGTCAAAGACATGATAATATGAATGTAAGGTGGGTCATGGTGAAAGCAACATGAGTGGAATTTTATGGAATCTCTACAAATGCGGGTCTCGGCTAGGGACTTTATCACACTAATGGAAGGCATTAGAGAAACAATTTTAAATTGTCAGTTTCATTCCAAAGCAAGATATTAGTCATTTTATTTTATTATGTAAAGGGGCAAGGTTTATGTCCTCCCCTCCCCTCTTTATATTTTTGGTTATTAACAAATTTTTGCCTTAAATGGGCTTAACTTAAAAAACCCATCCACCTCAGTTCTTTGTTATACCTCTTAAAATCTGTCAGCATAGAATCAAAACCATAAGCAGCCCCTAAAATCCCTTTCTGCACTGCCAGCATCAATATTTACCCTAAAGCTTGTTGGAGAGTGTGTTCCTACCATCTTTCCATCACAAAATCCAAGCATAAGCAGTGCCTAAGATCCCTTTCTCTACTGCCAACTTCAATTTTCAACCTAAAATTTGTAGGAGAGTGTTTACCTAAACTTGTCCGGCATGACATTGCTTCAGAAAAAAGAGAGATGTTTTTTAGAAACAGGGCTACCTTTGGCAAGAAGATGGTGCCATTTGTAGCTATTCAAGATAACAATTGCACACCCTCAATTTGCTAGAAAGCACTAGGGCCAAAAAGTTGAGCGGCACAAATTATCGTGGTTCAAAGAATTGTCCAAGTTCGATAAGGCTTGGCCGACTCATATCCGGCTGGGCACTTTTCCTCCTCATACAGTTCAACATTCCGGGTAAATCACAAGTCTCCTTCCACTCGTGGTTGACTCGGAGACATCTTGGTAGACTCAACCAAAATTCCTGAGTCATCGCCATCAACTTGCAGCCTATCGCTATATACCATTCAACGACATCATGTTATAGCATGAATCTCTTTTGATGTCCACGACATGACGTTATGGCAAATTTCACGACCTTCAACCATTATAATGATAAAGCTCTGCATGTGGAGCAGTCTCTAGGGGCACAAGTATTAACAAATAGAGAAGTCTTAGCACACTATTCAAGCCCAACATAGGAAGTACTGGACAGATACGAATAGCAAGTTTCAAAAGACATATTTTGTGGAGTTGGAAACAAACTGCATGACAAATTACAAAATCAGTTAAGCAACCAAAATCGAAAACTGGGTCTAAATTCAACTCAACCATTTTTGTCCTTCATTATAAACAATAATTGGCAGGATTGGACAACAGAGCATCAAAGTACCTTTGAAAATGGCAATTCCAAGAATCCCCAGAAAGTTGAATATAGCACCATATCCATATAAAAATAAGTTCTGCAAAACAAACAACAGTGTCAAAAACAGAGGATAGCAGAGATGCTTGGATACCTTTGTGTAGAGAGTCTAGAGACTGCATTCATGACTAGCAAAACAAGAGTGAACATAAAGTGACAAGGAAAGAACAAGGGATTATTTGACTGGTGGTTTGAATTCAGTTTAAGGCAGATTGATCCCGAAAGGGATGCTGTGTCACGACCATTTAAAAGATGCTGAGTCCCACATCGTCACTTGACATTTGTCTTGAGGTCTATTGTCTAAACTACTTGAATATCTGTTTAAACAACACCCAAGGAAGAAAAAAAGAACCCAATAATCCTTCACTCTAATTCCTTCCAGATTATCCACATCATAGCTTCTGGACATAACAGGCCCAGAAATAGTGCCACTTTGTTGTTTGTCTATTCTTCAATCAAAATAGTAGCATATAACCCAGGCTAAAAAGTAAAAAGCCAATTCCCATATTTTAACATTTCCAGTTTGGCCAAAAGCGCGCTGATAAACCCAAGTACTCAATGCACCTAGAAAAACCTATAAGTTCTCTCTCCTCAACTAAATCACCTACACAATTACAGAAGCAGAATATGTTCAGAGCTGTTTAGCTTATCGCACTTTTGAGGGCAGTATAGAAAGCAGACGATCAAGCAATCTGTCCTAATTGAGGGGAAACTATGAAGCACTACTAAATGCAATCAAAACAACTATAAAATTGATAGTATTTTTTCTCCTAGAGAAGTAATGCAAAAATCAACCAATGAATCTCGTATTATCTGCCTGACACAGCATCAAAGTAGACAAGTGTAATATTATCCGAGATCACCTGAAGGTAAATGCTTGTGTCATATTGGCTTTTCAGAGCATATTCGTTGAAGACTGAGGCCAAAGATGGAACAGTCACCTGCACATTAAACCCTAAATAAAGCCTCAGCAGTACAAAAACAATTTAATGAAATAGCAAAGATATGATAAAGTCTAATCTCAAAAACAATTCATGCATATGAATTTTTGCTTTTGGGCTGAAACCTTGGGCTAGCGATGCATCGAGCATCACCCTTCAGTTCTATGTATAGTAACAACCTGAGAGTAAATAACCAAAATCACTTACAAAAATCAATGTGGACATGTATGCAGCCGTTGCAACAGGAACACCCAAAGCGGTAGTACCCTCAGGTAGGGAACGCATCTGATTTATGCTAATTCCAATAAGCAACAGAGCAAGAGCTTCCCACTGTGGCAAAAAAACAAAACAAGACCACACAAGCTTCAGTAATTTTTTTCCTTCTAAGTAATACCTTAAAATAATCATTACTGTTGTTGTCAATCGTTGTATATAATCCCCTGAAGCATTCAAATGTAGTTCTTATTTACACTTTGCCAAAACTGGTCAAACTAAAACCATTCAGAACACAAAACTAACCTGAATGATGGAAAACCTACGCCTCATTATTACTTTTAACAGAACAGCAATTACCAAAACCTGCATTTTCATAGTCCACAATCAAAATTTTGCAAGAATATAATTCAAGATTAGTGTCCTGTGACATAATTTGTAAGTAACAGTTTAATAAAATCCAAAGACTAATATTACACAACATGAAGTCCTGGCCAAATATGTTAGTAGGCTGACTATGCAAGCAAGAAAGTCAGCACTCTTAAAACATACAGCAAATAAAGAAAAGAATAAGTAGAAGGGATATTAAGGAAGGAAAATTATCAGCAGCTCTCTCTAAAATCCCATTGTAATAAAAAGTATGTGCAAGAGCCAATATATTGAACCAGACAAAAAGAAAAAGACTCTGCTGCCCCTATTGATAAATAAACATGACAATATTAACAATCCTCCTTCCAACTCATGATGTGACGGTAGAAAGTATAGGAAGTTAGTCAAAAAGAAAATGGAGATGCAACATGGGGCAAGACTTCATGAAAAAGACAGCCAACTGCATAGTAAGTTAGTAACAAAAGAAAAAAGCAAGGAAATAGTCTCAAGCTACAATTTGGATGGCACGTTTGTTTTCACTATACATAGATGTAGAAGCAAAAAGGAAATGCTTAGATCGGCAAGCAACCATATCAACCAAACTATCTCTAATATAGTAGTAGCCATAGCACGGTATTAATCCTGAACAATGAAACGAGCGAGAACAATTCGCTTCTTGCTTTTTTAGGAAATAAGATAATCACTTAGAAAGAAACAAAAACTTAGGGGTGGATTTGCAGTCCATGACATCACCAGCCAAATCAATATCAAAAAAAGTGGATGAAAATAACACACTCCAATGTAAAGTGCCACCAAGATAGCTCAAAATGCAAAGAATTGAAGCCCAATGCACTCTAGTTGGAGAAGAGGTATGAGACATGGATACTTTTGGAAGGTTGGAGTATGTCATACTCCGAGTATCCAAAACCCAATACCTAAATATACAAATACGGCCACATATGCAAGGATGCGTATTGGATATGCTCCATACATATATGATAAATAATACATTATATTTTCCATGCGAAGTGATACAAGTTGAATACATTGGGATATGGGTGCAGTCGAATAGATAAAGCAGATAATATGTAAATTAATGAAAAAAACCATAATGAAGTCGAGAAAAATAACTCAAAAAATTTCACCATTTTTGAGGATAAAAGAACACAAATTGTTGAACCTTGGCTAATTAAGCTTAATACAGTATACTGTTGGTACTAAGCAAATCGTCCTCCATTGGATCCTCTGCTACCTTCACCGTCCCCGCCTGCTCTTCTTCATCACCACTGTTAGCAAGTGCAGATTCTATTTTTATTTTTTCGATATGTAATGCACAGAGAGATTGATAGTGGGATAGAGGGAGAACGGGCCTACTTAACAAAGTCTAAAAGCAGAGAGAGAGAGAGATGATAAAAATGCAAAATCCAAATCTCGTGATGTATTGTTGGAAGTAGCTGCTTCCACACGCAGATTTTTTGAATCTGAAATCAGAGACCCTTGTTGTTTCCTTTATCTGCTGAGTAAGTGCTCTCCAGCTAGCAATTTTGTCTTCATGTTTGAAGATCTTTTCGAATACGGTTTGCAGATGACCCACTTTCTCTTGGGACATTAGATTTTGTGAGAATCTTGATGACACAGATATAACAGAAATGGTCTCGTTCTTGTCTTTGCTTGATGATTTACATTTAGATCATCAGTCATGTGATACAAGCTATTGTCTGCTGATGCTTGAAGTAGCTTCTCTAGCCATTCTTTCTTTGACTAATTAACTGATGTTCCTTCATGTCCACTTTCCGTTCCAACTTTGATGATTTGGAAGGAAAAAAGCCCATTAAATTCTCAGTTTGCGCACGAAATATTGTTCATGATAAGATTAATACCAATAACATGTTTCAAATAAGAAGACGTCTAGCTTATCTTTCTCCGTAGTGGGTTGCTATGCATCAATGTGAGTATGAAAATGTGGATCACTTATTTTTAGATTTCCCCGTTGCATTATCGTTCTAGAGCAAATTGAGTGATTTGGAAGGAATGAGTTGTTTACTCTTTGTTCTATCTAGTCTAAATTTACTGTGGACTTTAGCGGTTTTGGAATCAAGAAGAAAGGGATTACTCTTTGGAATTTGGAATTGGGTTGTTCTTGCCACAATTTGGGTTATTTCGTGGGATAGAATGTGATGATCTTTGAAAATAAATGAAAATCAGTGGATTATGAGATCAGATATATTTTTTAGTATCTTTTTGAACTTTGGTTTCTAATACTCTTGAAGGTATTCCCCTAAGTTGCATTATGGCAAGGCGGAGAGATTGTGATTTATAGCTGGACATTATGTTGCTCTAAGTGCTCTTTGTTGTTATCCATTGTCCATGTCAGCTGCTCTTTGTTGTTATCCATTGTCCATGTCAGCTTTTTCTTTTTCTTTTTTTTCTCTTTTAACTGATTTGGGATTGGACGACTTATCCAACTCTCTTTTCTTTTTTGTGCTTTCTTAATATCAATAAAATTGCTTCTTTTCCAATAGCATCTAATGGGAGGTCCTATTTGTCAATCTCTCTCTCCCACTACCAATAGAAAAAACATTACATAAAGAAAAATGAATGTATGTCTGCCAAAACCAGCTAGCAAATTGCACAAAGTTAGCCATGAAAATATATAGATACACCACAACATATTGTAAAAGTATGCAATAAACAATGTTATGCCTAATATCAACGAACGAGTAATATAAAATGTTGAAGCAAACAAAAATCCATTACCGAAAGCATCATTACATATAAGAAGATATTCAAAAGCCACAACCCATGCTGTCACCAACCTATCAGTACCATAATCTCCTTAGTAACCTCATGAATAAAAATGCAGGTAGCAATATACCTTCAGATTGCTCAGCATCTTAACGGTGGCAGGATCAAAGTACAGCTGCACAGAAAGTTTGCACAGTTAAGTTGTTTGTGGCAGACAAATATTGAAAACCTAGGCTATTAACTTTACAGGTCATAACAATAGTGGCCAGGCAATAGTGGTCGTCCATATATGTCGTAAAATATCTTTTTGATGGTAGGGTATGTCATATTATATGAAACGTCACATTTAATATGTGCTGAATTATTGTCACAAAAAAGTGACTAGTTATATAATCGCTGGCAACATTTGTCCTATATCAAATGAAACAACATTAACAGGGTGCAAAAAAGTTTCTACAATAAAAATTATCAATCACAGATGTCAAAAGAGCCACCAAACCACAATGAACTTCACAGATCATCATGACAGTAGCCAAGGAATAATGGTTGCCCACGTATGTCATATTGGGAATTTATCTCCTGTTTGTTAAATGGCAATCATACTGCATGATGTGCATTTAAACTTTTTCACCAAGAGTTTCATTGTCTCATTTCTAAATAAAGCATCAAGTGTTTGACACTGGGTCTTTCTAAATTCCCCAGTGTAATGAAAGATGAAAATAAAACAAATGTCACCTCTTTTGGTCCTAACTCATAACGAGTAAGAGAAAAAAGTAATAAAGCTTCCCCCTCCCTAACACCTTCCTACCTCCTATTCAAAACCAGCCGAAACCCATGATGAGCCACCAATTTCTTCTATATGTTAGTCAAAAAACAATTCTCCCTCCTTCCCTCTCTACCAATAATGGCTATCATGCGGCGGAGATTTCCTCAGCACCTCCTAGCTCGGTCTATCAACCTACATGAATACAGGTGAAGGAAATATTGATTGAGGATAGAATACACCAAAACTGAGGTCATCATCCATTAAAGTCCATTGACTGTAACTAAGGCATGAAGACATGGTTAAAAGTATCGGCCGATACTCTAATAGGAGTCATATCCGACTAGACACCTTACAAAACGATACCATTGCACAATACGTATAAACCCTGAATCTCGCATGACTCGGGTGAGTTGTCTGAATCAATCCCGAGTCTCCGGAATTATCATTCCCAAATCGGCCGATACGGTTCTGCGACATCGCTATATGATCTGAATCTCTCGTCATGTTCAACATTTTATTTTAGATCGTATCGCCCGATACCGCATTGAGACGCCGCAACCAATGTGTCTCAGAGCTTTCCAAGTCGATGGCTGATACCACGACCTTGAACTGTGCATGGAGATTGTGATAATAAATCAACAATTTTCTCATCAAAAAAATTGAGAGGGAGAGAGCAACAAGAAGAGGTGGTCACGAAAGGGTGGGCAATTAAAAAGGGTGAGGGAGGGAAATTAAATTATTATTTTGCCCTACATTTCATGAGTTAAGAAATACATGAGAATTATCATCTTTGCATATTTTAAGTATATCCACCAGCAGAGCAGGTTCAATAACAAAACCTTCATTTCTAGTACAACATGACCACAATTCATGATAAATCTCCAGAGAGTTTAATTTAGAAGCAACCCTATGATACAATACTTTTCTCTTTGAGCTCTTTTTCTGTGTTACAAATCTGTATGCGGCTGTTGCAACTTCATTTTAAGTTTATTTTTTGTTTCGCTCTTTTTGACCATGGTAATTAAGAAATTGCTATCTTAACTAAGACCTACAATCACGATAAACAAAGGTCATCACATATGATTCAAGGATTACCACCGTCCCCATTGAATCACATGCAATAATGTCTATTTTCATCCCTTTTGGGTCCCTTTATCCTAAACGTTAAAATTACTCAATAAGAATATTCGGACCTAGAAGAGCAAGAACCCGCAGCTCACCTTTTTGAAACCACCCTCACTTCCCCTGGACATGGAGCTAACCAAAGACAAAGGATGAAGAAGTAAACAAAAACATGTCCTCATTAAGAGTAGACCTCCCCTCTTGGTTCAACCCTCATCATAACAGCGGTAATTGCAAGAGTTAAAACAATATCCTAAGGCAATGTTTGTTTTTAGTATTTGAGTAGGATAAAAGAGTTTTAGTGCAAGTAGTCTGGGGCTCACATATACCTTGTTTGTTTGGTTTCATTGAGCCTGGCAAAATTTTTTGTTTATTGCACCGGCATGAGCAGAAGAGTAGTTCTTCTCCCCAGTATCTGGGTATGTCTTATTCCACATGATAGGTGGTATTAGAAAAAGCCACTTCTGGTCAATAAGATGGAATGAATGGCAAGGGCATACAGTCAAGTAATGGCAAATAATCATTTAGAATCTTTGCCTTTTCTGGGGCCCACGTGCAATACCACGTTCCAGCCAAACATAGTACAGGATGGCACAAGGGAATTATACAAAGCCATACAAACCAATGGGATTGACAATCCAATCCCATCCAGCCATATTCTTCAACCAAAGATGCCCCAACAGTTTAACACAATGCGTAGAATTTTGATCAATGAACAGTAAATAAGCTTAAACAGGGACATCTAATGGTGATTAGAAACCCAATCACCCTGTATTGCTAAATCCTGGGCCACAACATAGCACTCAAACTTGCTCATGTAAGAAGTTGAGACACTACCAACATCAAATAGAGGCACCACTATGTAGTTATCGACATGCGTAAAATGCTCTCCAAAAGCAAATGCACATGTAGGAAAGTGAAAACCAACCACAATGTCTATACCTGCATTGTAAACTTCAGATAATTATTGATAGCATACAGAAACGCTGGAACTGCAAGAAGCACATTGCTGCGAGCAGCCTGCAGGAAATACAAATATTTATCAGGTTGAAGGGCCAGTAATTAAAAAGAGTACTCTAAAAAATTTGATTTTCAAGGGTCTAACCAACAGTCTGAGGACTCGCACAAATAAATATATTGCTGGATTTTCTTTTGTATTTTTGTTCTATATTTTTAATGATATTTCTGTTTCCCATAAAAAAAAAATAGGGTTTGTGCACTAGATGCATAAGATAATGCCCAATTCAAAAATCAAATCCTATTCAATATGTAAAGCACGTATGACGCACGCAAGATGCAAATATCACAAATTGCCTCGAAAATTGCAAGTATAAGAAGTAAGTTAATCATACTCAACCATACCACAAGCAATTTTTACATGGAAAACCCTAACATGAAAAAACCACAGGACCTTTCAGACAACCAATCCACTAAAGCTTCAAAGTTAGTTACAAGACCAAAAGACGTATAGATCAACCAATTACATTAAGTAAGATGCTTTCTCTATCTTATAACTTCAATTCGGAATCCATTGCAAACTCTTGGATGCTTTATAGATGATCCATAAATCGAATCCTCAATCCATCCTATACCATTCAAGGAATCTGCCTTCGAACTTCAATTGAAATCCAACAACGCAAAAACGTCTCAAAAGGCTTTTGTGTCTCTTACAAGGTAGCTCTCTAAAAGAACATGAAATTGGTCAAAAGTAATTTATGAAGAATCTTTAGCCACTTTTGTTTAGTAGGCTAGGGTCAAGCTCTCTAAATTATTTTCTCTTTGAAAATCTCAGCTTTGTAACCCTTATGAATGAACTCAACCTTAACCTATACATAGAAATGAAAATAGAATCAAAATAGGAAACCAAAATCTACAAAATCCGAATTGCCCTCTAGAGCATGAGAGAGTGCTAGTTTTTGGAATTGAATTTTGTCTCAGCCACCCAACATGACCATTCAAGTGTTGGGTGAGCGTTGAGCAAGCAGTGGTCTCAAATTGAGAAAATGCTCACTCCAAGTTGAAGGAACTGCTTGAGTGCTCAAAGGGCGTTGCTTACTAGTTTTTTCCAACAAAACCATATTTCAATCCCTTCTTCACATCATGCTTTAGTCTTCAACTTTTATAATTAGTAGTATATTGTCATTATTTCTAATTAAATAAGTATACCTCTCGGAGGGAATACTAATCATTTATACTTTTATGGGTAACTACAAATACAAGGTAAAAGTGAGAGGTAGGGTATGATTCTACCTTCCCTACCTCCTCTCTTAGAGTTCTTTCAATTTTCTATTTACTAAATCTAACATGATATCAGAGCCAATTTGATCTAAAATTCATCCATGATTTTTTCTTTAAACTTAAACTCTTTTGTATTGTATTTCTCGTTTGTCTCTTCCTCCTTTCTTTTCTATTCTCATCTTCACCATCTAGGACTCAACCACAGCCTGAATGAACAACTAGGATTTATATCCTGTTATGAATAAACAATAACTATGGGTGTGATCGAGTACATGATCCGTGCGACATCAGTTCGTTGGATTGTTAGTTGCAGTATAGAATCGTCGGATGTATGGCTGATTGTTTGAAGGTATTGATGTCGTCATTCGGATGAGGTTTCTGTTCGTTGGATCTCAGGTGTTGTGATTCGTATAGCCTCATCAGGTGTTTTGATCTAAAATTCATCCATGATTTTTTCTTTGAACTTAAACTCTTCTATATTTTATTTCGCGTCAGTCTCTTCCTCCTTTTTTTTCTATTCTCGTCTTCCTCATCCAGGACTCAACCACAGCCTGAATGAACAACTAGGATTTATATCCTGTTATGAATGAACAATAACTATGGGTGTGATCAAGTACATGATCCGTGCGATTTCAGTTCGTTGGATTGTTAGTTGTAGTATGGAATCATCAGATGTATGGCTGATTGTTTGAAGATATTGATGTCGTCATTCGGGTGAGGTTTTTGTTCGTTGGATCTCAAGTGTTGTGATTCGTATACCCTCGTATGGTGTTTTGGCAAATATGATGGTCGAACTAGGATTTATATCCTGTTATGAATGAACAATAACTATGGGTGTGATCGAGTACATGATCTGTGCGATTTCAGTTCGTTGGATGGTTAGTTGTACTATGACATCGTCGGATCTATGGCTGATTGATTGAAGGTATTGATGTCATCATTCGGGTGAGGTTTCTATTTGTTGGATCTCAGGTGTTGTGATTTGTATAGCCTCGTATGGTGTTTTGGCAAATATGGTGGTCGACGTTCTATCTGGCGTTGATCATTGTTGCCAATGTTCTCATCATCGCCAGAGTTGTCTGGGCTAGGGTTCGCAGACCTGTTAGAACGAAGAAGACACAGCCCGTTGTTCACAAGTTCTACTTCGAATCTAATTCGGATTAGGTTAAAACCGAGTCCATCAGCAAGTTTTTCTAAAAGAGGCAATCCAGCCCAGCACCTGTTAGCCCAGTCCAACAAGATCCAGGCCCAGAACCAGCTGGCCCAGTCCAGTTTGGTTTGGTTCAGACTAGGTGGGTTCACGTCCGGTTCAGACCATTCTACTACAATTTTCAGATCAGTTCTACCCGGTTCAGGTGTCTTCTCGCCAGTTCATGCTGATTCCCACCTCCTAGCTATTCTTGATAGTCTTCAGACCTATACCAGCCACAATCTGTGTATTCTGGCCAGTGCATCAGTTTTGTGGTCTGACTCAGCAGGTTTTGGTCTGGCTCAGCAGGCTTCTGGTTCGGTTCATCAGGTTTCTGGTCAGGTTCGTTGCTTTGTGGACTGCCCTAGCCTTATTCTTCTTGGTCCCGTGAGTATAGGATTGGGTTCCTCTGTTTTTTTGGTTGGTGCTCCTTTTCCAGCTCTCTTTTAGCCCAGATCTACCTTCTCAGTTGCTCCAGTTTCAGTAATATGACTACAGATTCCAGAACATAGTTGAAGACAGATGCACTTCCTCCTAGCCTTCCACCAATATTTTTCTCATCCTCTTTCTTTCATGCTCTTATGACTTTGGTCAAGCTAAATGGGACTAATTATATTTTATAGCCCCAATGTATTCAAGTTTTCATTAAAGGCAAAGGTTTTAAAAAGTATTTGGTTGGAGCTAAACCCAAGGCCCTAGATTTTATCAGTGAGAGCAAGAGTATGCCCAAATTATTTAGTTATTATTGAATAGTATTGAACCTCATATCAGCTCCACATTGCTTTATCTCGATAAAGCCAAGAAAATCTGAAATCGTTTGGCACAGATATTTATGGTACTAGTAAGTTTACTGGTACTTATGAGGTATGAAAACAGTATTTCGCCCTAAGCAGGGTGCTTTGAGTTTAGAAGACTATTATTCTAAAGTTATGGGTGTTTGTGAGGAGTTGAGGATTCTCCACCCGTTTACGACCGGTGTCGCATGTATGGAGTGACAGTGTGAGGATTTGAATGTTGTTCGTTTTCTTATTGGTTCAAAACTTGAGTATGAACCTATCCGTATCCAAATCTTAAGAAGTCTCACTCTTCCCACTCTTTTAAATGTTTTTACCCGCTTACAGCGTGCTACATTATCTGATTATCTTTTTAGATCCGACACTGATCATGGTCCCTCCGCTAACTGCTCAACTTGGGTTGTCTCCACTTGCAAAACTAGTAGTACTCAAGGTGGTCGGGACCATAGAGGTGGATGTTGTGGTGGTCGTTCTATTTATGATTCTAGAGGGGGACGTAGTAGTGGTCGTGGAGGCCGTAATGTTACTCACTTACGTACTCATTGTGGTCGTAGTAATCACACTGTGGATTACTATTGGGATTTACATGGCAAGTCGTCTAGCATTGCTAACTAGGTCTCCTATCATGATAATATCACCCATTAGCCTACATCATCATCCCCTGCAGCACCATCTAACTCCAACTTAGTTACTATCTTCTGAGAAAAGTATGCTCAGTTCCAGTCTCTGAAACAAATTATCTCATCTTCCTCGATGGCTACTTTTGTTCAATCAAGTACCACTTTCACTTATTTAATGTCTTCCACCCGCAATCCATAGATCATAGACTATGGTGCTTCTATTTACATGATTAGTTCGTCTAGCGAATTTTTCACTTACAATTCTGTTATTCCATCTCCAAGTGTTACTTTTGCTAATAGGACTTCATCTAAAGTTTCAGGTTTGCAAACTACTCAACTAAGTCCCAATGTGTCTTCATCCTATGCTTTATTTGTTCCCCAATTTCTTTTCAGTTTAATGTCTCTTAGTAAGATTACTCATTCTCTTAAATGTTCGGTCACTTTTTATCCTTATAATGTTTCAGGATCTAAAGGCGAGGAGGAAGATTGTTATGGGACATGAAGCAGGTGGCCTCTATTATTTTGATCCTGATCCATCACCTAGAGCTCTTCAAATCTCATTATCTCCCTTTTAGTGGTATTGTCGTCTTGGTCATTCATCTCTCTAGAATTTGATGTGCCAAGTCCCTAGTCTTGGTCATATGTCGTCTCTGTTTTGTGAAATTTGTCAACTTAATAAGCATCTCTGTGTGTCATTTCAGTCTCCCTTTTTTGTGAAGTTTGTCAACTTAATAAGCATCACTGTGTGTCATTTCGGTCTAAAGTCAATAATCATGTATCCAATCCTTTTGAGTTGGTACATTCTCCTGTATAGGGTCCTTTAAAGAATATTTCATCTAATAAATTTCCTTATTTTTTGACATTTGTGAATAATTATTCTCGCATGACTTGGTTATTTCCCAAAAAAGCTCATTTTAAATTGTTCTCCATATTTGAAACATTTTGTAAGGAAATCAAAACCTAATATGGTCATCGTACTCACCTTCTACGTTCTGATAATGCTCATGAGTATGGCTCTGAGCAATTTACCACTTATCTTCGTAAAACTAATATTATTCACCAAACTTCATGTATCTACACCCCCCCAAACAAAATGGTGCACCTGAACGTAAATATTATCATTTGATGTAGGTGACTCGTGCACTTTTATTTCAAATGAATGTCCCTCAATATTTTTGGAATGATGGTGTTTTTATTGCTTATCATCTCATTAACTGTATGTCATCTTCTATGTTAAATGAGCACAGTCCACATTCTGTCCTTTTTCCTCGGTCTCCCTTATTCAATTTACCTCCTAAAATATTTGAATTTTGTTTGCTATGTTCACAATTTAGGACCCGATTTTGATAAACTTGTTCCTCATGCTACAAAATGTATCTTTTTTGGTTATTCTCGCACTCAAAAAGATTATCATTGCTATAGTCCTATGTTTCAACAATACTTTATTTGTGCTGATGTCACATTTACTAAATCGATTCCATATTTTCGAGATCCCACTCCTCCACTAGATCTTGATGTTAATCAATCACCTCTACCCCCACCTCTTTCATTATCCCTCTGTCTCCTCCCCCTAAGCATGTAATCTCGTCATTTGAGGCCATCTATTATGGTCCCCCTCATTTTCCTTGGCGCCTTCTGATTCAAGTTCCCCAATTATCTCTAACTCCTTGCCCATTCCTCTTCGTAAAGATACTCGGTCTTCTATTACTAATCATCCAATTACTAATTTTTTTTCTTATAATGCGTTGTCCCATACTTTCCCTTGTTTTATTTCTTTTATTTCCATCCCTAAGACATTACATGTAGCGTTATCTAATCCGGGTTAGAGGAAATCTATGGAGACTAATCATAACGACACTAGAGATCTCATTCCCTTACCTACTAGTAAAAAGACTGTGGGTTGTCGATGGATGTATATAGTAAAATTCAATCTTGATTTGCCCTATTCATGTATTGATTTCTTTAGCTATTATTCTAGCTTGGTCTTTGTTTCAGTTGGATGGGAAAAATACATTTCTACATGGTAATTTGACTGAGGAAGTTTACATGGAGTAACCACCTGAATTTATTACTTAGGGGAGTATTATCGGAGTGTGTGTCGACTAAAGAAATCATTGTACGGTTTAAAATAATCACCAAGAGCATGGATTGGTAAATTTTTAGAGATAGTTCTAAAATTTGGTCTTCTTCAATATCAAACAGATCACTCTACTTTTCATTGACATACTGTTACAGGATATATTATGCTTGTGTATGCAAATGATATTGTAATTACCAGTGATGACTCTAAGGGTATTGCAAAGTTGAAAATCTTCTAGCAACATCAATTTCAGACTTAGGCAAACTCAAATACTTCTTGGGCATTGAGGTTGCTAGATCTAAACGAGGCAGTTATTTGTCTCAGAAAAAATATGTACTTGATCTGCTTGGAAAAAGAAAGTTTACTAGGTGGAAAACCAATTGATACTCCTATAGATCTGAATCAGAAATTGTTGGTGGATGGCAGTGCACTATTTGAGAATCCGGGATGATACCGTAGATTAGTTGAAAAGTTTAATTATCTCACTATCACTCGACTAGATATTGGATATGCGATTAATGTTGTGAGCCAGTTTACAGGAAGTCCTAGAATACCACATTACGATGTTGTTATTCGTATTATTCTATACCTTAAAAAATATTCCTGGACCTAGATTGTTGTACCAAGTCAATAGACATCTTAAAGTGGAAGGTTTTACACATGTTGATCGGACAGGTACTCCCTTAGATTTCATATTAACTACTGGATATTGTACCTTCTTGGGAGGTAATTTGGTTATATGAAAGAATAAGAAACAAATAGTGATTACACGGTCAAGTGCAAAGGCCAAGTATAGAGGTATAGCGCATACAACAAATGAGCTGATGTGGTTACTACATTTTCTTCAAGAAATTGGCTTTCCATCTCAACTTCCCCTTAAGTTGCTTTGTGATAATCGGTAACTCTTCATAGTGCTATCAATCCAATATTCCATGAAAGGACAAAACATATCGAATTTGATTGTCATATCATTTATGACAAAATACTCAATGGAGAGATCGCAACACTATTTGTGAAAACAGAAGACCAACTTACAGATATGTTCACAAAAGTATTGAATTGTTCTCGTCTGGCAGCTAGCTATCTGTTCCAAGCTTAGATTATATTATGAGGGTATACTAGTCACTTTTGTGGGTAACTATAAATATAAGGTGAAAGTGAGAGGCCAAGTATGATTCTGACTTCCTCATCTCCTCTCTTAGAGTTCTTCCAATTCTCTATTTACTAATCTAACAATAAGCATCTTAACCCTTGGATTTAGTTGAGATGTGACTCACTGAATTTAGCCTACACAACTATATCCTAATAGTATGCATAATATTATGTTAAGCCTCCATGTTGAGCATCCATCCTATGGATGAGAGTCGGGAGACAAGATATACAATATATAGTTTGTGAGTCGGGCTTCAAGCTGGCTCTGGCGGATGCCTCTGCTCAAACCCAACTAGAACTATCATTGGGTTGAGAATTGTTAGCTCAGGATCAGCCCCAAGTTAAAGTACATTGTCCAAGACAAAGGAACTTTTGTGGCTCGAGTTGTTCCTGTCTGACCGAAGCTCACTGTCCGAGTGAGCCTGGTTTATGCTTCTCTTTAGCACTCTTTAGGCATAATTTCCTCATCATGGGAAAGGGAAAAAAACACTGCAATTGACTCCTGCAGCGCAGCGGTGTCTATTAACTGTGCAGCTATCCAGCATGTATCTTTATCAGCATATAGAGCTAGAGAATATAAATTCTCCTAGTCCAAGGATCAAAATTTTGTTTTGGTGCAAAGTTTCGGTAACATTGAAAACGGAAACGTTTCAGTAATATTTCGGAAACATCTTGGCCTTTGTACTGATTCGTGTGATAATAACACAGCCAACCATTTCCATATATACCAATAAACATTTACAGGAACTTGACAAAAGCCCATGAAGTCAAAATAGAATCCAAAAGATACTATATTTTTATAAGACTCCTAAAGTTTGCATCATTTCCATGCCTAAAATAGGAAAGCACTGCATTCAAATGGAAGTCATCTCAGTTTAACGGCCAAGCCAACCTGAATTAATCTTAAAAAAATAAATAGATGTTGCTGGAAATCCTTGTAACATGCAAAAATAATTTATTCACCATCTCCTACAGATCATATAAATGCATCAAATGTATATCTTTAAGACTTCATACCTGCACAAACGTGGAAATTGAGAGAAGCGGCTTCTCTCCAACTTTCTGCCGTCTAGCCTGCAAAATCACTCAAAACACTGACACTAAAAACCATGGTGATCATAATTATAACACCACATAGTCTCCATAATTCATAAAGATTACATATTTAAAATATCATAAGGCAGAGATCTCAATGTAGATATCATTGCATATTTTCTTACTTACTTTGCTAATACATAGTCCACATTGCATTATATGCGACACATTTCCCTCTGCATGTTTGCAATTATACAAAACGAGTTCGTTGGGAATCTTCACCAACATTTTTCTGGCCTTAACGATTCTAATCACAACTTGATTAACATTAAAATAATACCCAAATCACTTAATCCTACTTTAGTAAATAAAAATACCACAATAATTTGGTATATCGATATAAAATTAAGCAGTGAGTAAACTCAAATGTATTAAACAGTCTCAAGATTGTCTTACTTGAACATGCTCAATTCACAAGTACTCCGGGGAGATAAATTACCAAGGAAAACATGAAAACAAAAAAGATAATATTTTGAAGTTGAAGTGAGGAAAAAAGCCAAATGTACCTGGATCACAAGCATAACAATTGCAAAGAGAACTTTTGCACACTCCGTAAGGAAGTTAACACCAACGGGGTTATATTTAAAACTCCCATCCACCTTGGACATAAATACCAAAATTGGCTGAAAAAGAAAAACAAGAATTTAAGCATGGTTAGCAAATTATGCAATGCCCAATAGAACACAAAAAATTCTAGTCATATGAAGCAAAGCATTTAATATGTAAAATCTAACCCATATTAAGCCTTTTCCAATGGAGAAATTAATCAATATACTTCAAAAACAAAATAACACATTTAGACCCTCCCTTTAACTTTCTTTTGCCTCCTATATGAGTAGAAGGAAGAGCAATCAAGAGCTTACAAGAGAGAGAAGGGAAAAAGCCAACACTTACTATACAATAATCAAGAGTCTATGCAAATCATGGCAGACTAGACACAAATGAAGTAACACAGACCCGCTCCCACAGGATCCTTGTAGATCTTAAAGAGGGTCAAAATGAGACAGCATATGAATAATAGAAGCCAAGCTCATCCAGAAATTATTACCGTCTCTCTGGGTGATCAGGAGTCCAACTAACTTATGACGCTGAAAATCATGTCAAATCTAAATTGAATCTAAAGAGATGTCCAACCTAAAATTAAAGCAAGATTACAATGTAATATCTCCAATCAATAATGAACCCTTTGGGGAAAAAAACTGATTTCCTTACCCTTACACAAAAAGGTAAAAAATTTGTCAATTATTAAAGTGGAGGCCGTAACACTTTTAGAATACCTCATTGAAACTTGGCTAATGCTAAGCAATTTTACAAGATGGGTGTGAGAGGCTCTGCAATGCAGTGGCAAGATAGGTAACTTCCTATGTGCTTCTTTCATACCACAAACTGTTATTGGATAAGAGAGACTTCAGATTTGTCAACTATGTTACCCAATGAAGTCAAACCGGCACCCGCATCAGTGAGGATGCGGAAAAATTAATTCATTGAAAGAAGAGCGAATTCGTTGTCATCTATAAATCTCTTCAAGATAAAACGAGATCTTTTAGCATTTATGTTGAATGTATCTTTCGTTCTTTGTTGGTTTGCGTAACGGAGCATAAGAAGGATTATCTTCCTTCACACATTGTATTGCTTTTCCTTACCAAATACTTGCCACATTTTAGTCGAGTAGTTAACAAATATTAAACAGAAAATAAACCAAAAAGCACCTAACCTGATAGTTTTGAAAATTTTCAATTCCTAGGTATGCAGGAGGCCATAGTACCAAAAAATTGACTATCCTTTTTATCTATCTTTAACCCAAAAAAAATTGACTATCCTTTTTATCTATCTTTAACCCAAAGGAAGCTCAAAGATAGAACTACCTAGCTCTTCGAGTAACTGGAGACATTCATCTATTAAAGTGTTTTTAGTCTTATATTTACGGTTGTTACTATAGGGGGTATATTATGTCAGTACAATATTAAAACTATGAATATAAGTGACAGGAGGAGAGAACCCTATCTCTCATCTCTTCACAGTAACCTCTTCTCTCTTTTGCCTCTATTGCTCCTTTTTTCTTTTCTTCATCTTTTTCAACATGGTATCAATGCGGTGGTTACGTAATTCTTGAGTTCATCTACATGCGGAACCCCATCAAAGCAAATATTTTTTGAATTTTTTTATTTTTATGTCTGCTAAATAAAAATTTGTAGTCATGGTCACCCAAGACAGATCTATTGCTTGTGATTTTTTGGATTTTGTCTTAAATTATTAGATGTCTCTTTCCTTTTTTTTTCTAATTTTCAAAAAAAAAATATTTCGCAAAAATCATATCTAGCCACCTCTGGTGATTTCAATGTTTAGAATAGTTGCTAATATTGTTGATTATCATTGCCCAGCGGATTCCTTGTGTTTTACACCCATATTTGTGGAGTTTCATATCTTCAAAGGCCTCAGAAGGTACTTTTTGCATATCAATAGCTTGTTTTTGTGCTCCAATAGTAGGTTTGGCTATTTTCTACGATTCTTGATTAGATAGAATATTAGTTTGAGAAAGTTGTTGTGTTTCTTGTTGTTGTTTTTTTTGGTCTATTAAGTCATTTGGTGTGTATATACAATCTTGAAAAGAGGTTGAAATCAAATTAAGGATATGAGCACAGTCTTAGAAACAGTGAAAGGGTGTTGTAAGTCGGGTTGGGCTTCAAACTGAAAATTCCGCCCTACAGATTACAACCACAAAGCTTGATGGCTATAATTACCGGCCTGCTCATAGTCAGCTAAGTTGTTTATTATGAGTAAGGGCAAAATGGGTCATTTGACTGCCAAAGTTGAAGAACCACCAATTGACGACCCTCTTTATGATAAGTGCAAGGCTGAGAATTCAATGATTATGTCTTGGTAACTCCACTCTATGCAATCGGAGATCAATAATGGCATTTTTTTTTTCACACTTCGAAGAAGATTTGTGAGATAGTTTCACAAATATAGTTGAAAATGGGTAACATGGCATAGGTTTATGAGTTGAAATGTCGGATTCATAATAACAAACAGAGATTCTTCATCGACAACATATTTTCATACTTTGCGAGCTTATGGCAAGACTTGGATCACTATCAAAAGCTTGATATGGTTTGTGCTACATATGCCTCAAAACTATAGAAGTTAATAGAACAAGAGAGGATTGTTGAATTCCTTGCAATCAAATTAGGATTCAAATCTTAGGGAAAAAGACACTCCTTCTCTGGTATATGCTTATGTTCACTTAGAAGAGAGGAGGGATATGTTTCACCCTATGCCCTAAGAGAGTTTAGCTTCGGCTACTGCTACTTCTCGAAATAGCTAGTTGAGAAGTAAGAAAGTTGAGAGAGAACGTGCAATGATGTTACATCTGATAATAAAGATACATTATAGTGTTATTATTGTAATAAGCCGAGACATAATCAAAAGACTTGCTAGAAATTACATGGTCGTCCTCTGTTTGGGGGTAGAGGATGACGCTTAGGCGGTAGAGGAGGATCTTGAACCCATCTCAATACTGCAGCGGAGACTCCATCCCCTTGTCTTGCTTCATCTTCTAAAGACATGGCTCTTAAATCCTTTCTGAATTTGAGTTAAAAAATTTGATTTAGTATAGATTTCTCCGATGGACAAACCCCATTTATACTCAAATTTTTTAAAAATTCTCAGGCTGTCCCAAGAGCTCACTTCTTTAAATTTTTTTCCTCAAACTCTTTTGATTCTTCTTTTTTCTCTACTTCTTTCCCTTCAATAACTATATATATAGAGAGAAAAGGGCCAAAGACCTACAATATTCTATGTAGAATAAAAATAGTTGGAATAGAGGTGAGAAGAAGGACATCCGGAAGATAGATGGCTACTATTGATGAGCGTGAAATGCAAGAGAGGAGATAAGAGACAGGGGAGGGAAGGTCTGATTTGATATGAGTTTTGATATAGGATTTAAGATGTTTTCTAGATCGTTTTACTCAAATTTAAGTTTGAGTCTAAAAAAAAGTAAGAGTTGGGGATGCACTTACTAAGGAGGAAGTGGAGAATACACGTTACATTATGTCGAAACTAGAGACACCTGCCACTGCATCCACTTATTTTGTCAATTTTGGCAAACTGCCTACAACACTGAGTGCATCATGTAATACCCTCTCTTATCCCTGGATCATTAATTCAGGAGCCTAAGACAATATTACTGGAATGTCCACTTTGTTCTCATCATAGACTGCTTGTTCAGGAAAACGACAGTTAAAATAGTCGATGGTTCATTATCTTTTGTAGCTGATAAAGATTTTGTTCCAGTTTCTTTCTCTCTATCTCTCTTATCTGTTTTACATGTTCCTAACTTTTCAAATAATCTTTTTTTCTTAGTAGCATTACAAGAAAATTAAATCGTAGTGTAACATTGTTTCCTTCACATCGTATCTTTTAGGACCTTGTCACGAGGAAGAGGATTGACAATGGTGAAGAGAGAGACGGTCTTTAGTATCAGAATTTCTAAGAGTCAGACGATACTACTATTCTTACAAGCTAAAAAGATGTGAAATTTCTAAGGAGTACATTTGGCTACTACGTTAAAGATTAGGATATCCCCATTTCTTTTGTTACAAGAATTATTTGCTTTGTTTTCTAGGCTGTGAATGTCTCTTATTTCCATTGTGTAGCATGTGACCTTGCAAAACACAATGGTGCATCATTCCTATTAGTTTCAATAAAAGTACTCCATCTTTTGCTATTCTTCATATTGATGTTTAGGGAAGGTCCTGAGTTTCTAATTTGTCTAGTTTCAAATAGTTTGTGAAACTTATTAATGATTTGTCTTGAGGTGGTACTTACCTAATTTCATAATAGAATACAAATTATTCATTTTGATAATGGGGTGAATATGTTTATGGGGGACTTCATTCTAATTTTGTTGAGCAAGAATTATGCACCAAACTTCTAGTAGGGATACGCCTCAACAGAATGAGGTTGCTTTTGGTCACCAGTTGAGGTCTCATCTTCTTTTTTTCCTCTTCTTCCCCTTCTTTCTCTAACTATTTTTCAATTCCTCCTCAAGTGTGTGGGTGTGTTTGCTTTGTCTAAGTTCCTACTCGACTCCGAAGTAAGTTAGATCCTAAAGCAATCAAATGCATCTTTCTTGGTTATTTTCCTACATAAAAAGGTTACAAATGTTGTCATCCTCCTTCACGTAAAAGATTTATCTTAATGGATGTCACCTTTTTTTGAGGCAGAGT